TTACAGCACAGTCAACAAATGCCAAACACCCTTTGGTAATTGCTTTATGCTTTTATCTTCATCATCACACCCCTAAATGTCCATTTTAGGCAAGCGACTTCTTCGTCAGTGGATATGCGCCCCAACATGTGACGTGAATGTGCTGAAGTCTCGTCAGGAAGCAGTTGAGTGGCTTATGTCTCCTGCAGCTGCGCGATTCACTGAGAAGGCAAGCGAGTTGCTGCGCAAGATACCAGATTTGGAAAGGCTTTTACAAAAGTATGTCAAACTCATGTTGCAGTTTTGAGTTTCAAATCATTTTTTCAGAATTCATACACTTGGACTCAAATATCGCGCTGATACCCATCCAGATAGTCGTGCTGTTATGTTTGAAGCAGCAAACTATAACAAACGAAAAATTAAAGATCTCCTTAACACATTAGCTGGTTTTCAAACTTGTTATGATCTCATTATATTGTATGACAATTTTCGCCAACAGCAGGATGGGTGAGTTCTCGGATTGTTACTTGCACTTTTCAGTTCAAAGCAAACATTTCAGATGTCCATTGATTGATCAATGTATAGGACTAGATGAAAGAATAGATCTATGTTCTCATTTGGAACATTTTGCGGTAAGTCAAAATTCATTTTTGCAAATTCTTATGTCCCAACTTACAAACTATTTGCTACTATTGAAGATTCTCGCAAGAATAATCATTATTATCCAGAAATCTTTCAACCACGCCACAGCGGAAAAGGAAGGTATGATTGTTCCGCAGAAAGGTCAGGACGAAGCATACGACAGCGCATGTAGGCAAGTAGAAGAAGCTATACGACAGGTGGAGATCTACAGAAAAGAGCAAGAAAACAAGCTTCGATGCAAGGTAAACCTTTCTAAAGCAATAAGTCTTCCGCCAAGAAATTTGTTTCGTTTGCAGATCACGTACTTTGGCAGTGGTAAGAACAGATATCAAATGGAAATAGCCGAAAATGTGAATGTCCCTAGGAATTACGATTTGAAATCGCGGAGGAAGGTGTGCAGCTTTATTTTTTTTTTGTTTTTTGATTTTTTATAAATGGTAAGAAAATCCTTAATGATTTAAGTATTGCAGGGGTTCGGAAGGTATACGACAGAAACCCTCAACGAGCTTATTGATGAAGTGTTCAAAGCTGAAGATAATAAAGATCAGCAGAGAAACGATGCTACACGTAGAGTGTTTTCTGATTTTGACAGCAGGTAAGTTAAACTTCGCACTCCAGAAAAGCATCGTGTAGGTCAGCTGATGGTTAAGTATGGGCCAAGATTGTTAACCTTCCTAATCGCTTCCACTTCGGTATCTCCGTCTTTTCCTAAAGCCTGGAAAGTCGAGGGGAGCTGCATTTATTCTCCCACACGTGTTATTTCACTACAGAGGAAGTAAACAGTTACAGAACCAGAAAAGTTTTAGAG